ACACACACACACACACACACATATATTTCCTTAATAAAGCAGACATTTGATTTTATATATTTTTTCCTTTCATTCAAAAGCATGTGGCCCCTACAGGAGGAGCTAACCCATACTAGGTTGCAATGAGATCATACAAATCATACAGCCAGACCGAAGGTGAAGGGACATTAGGGACATGGAAGCTCCTTGTTGCTCCCAGGATTTTACAATCTTTGCTAGGAATCCACCTTCGGAAAAATGCTCACTTTGTTGTTTCTGCTCATCTTCCGCTCCACTCTGCCTACCTTGGGCATCTTTGTCTGGATCAGCTCTTCTGGGGTGTTACCCAAAGGTGGAAGCAGCCTCTTCTTGCTGTTTCGGGTCTCTGAGAGCCACTGAGGAGGTAACTCAAAAGGCCCAAAGCCAAATTGTAAGGAATATTTGTCAGGGACTGCCTCAGATTCCATGGGAGCTGCTGGTGCCACCTGGGATGCAGAGTCCACTGGGCTCAGGGGTGATGCAACGGATGTAAGCTGTGGCCCCTGCTCTACTTCCAGGCTGGTAGAAAGTATCCCCTTGGCCTGGAGGTCAACTGAACCAATGTACTTAGCTTCACTCTCTTCTTCATCTTCTGTGGGCTTAAAAATCTGCTGCTGCCCAATGTGGAACATCTCCAGGAGCTGGCTTCCTGAGCGCATGCTGGGCTCCAAGCTGCCATCAGCCACCCCACTCCCTGTACTAACCACATTACGGCGACTGTACCGGTGGTGGAGTTGCACCAAGGTCCCAATTAAGCACTTGCGGACAGATTTGTTCACAGTAAGAAAGAGCACAGGATTTGCCAGCAGAGAGACTTTGGGCAGCCAAATGGCAGTGAGCAGCAAGAAGACAGAAGTGTTGGGAATATTGAGCACAGTCTGGTAGATGACCAAAGTGGCATAGGGCACGCTACATAAGATGAAGACCATCACCATGGAGAGCAGAGTGGCATGCAGCTCAGCCTCCCGCTGGGAGGCATAGGGGATAGAGATGGTATTCTGTGGGGTCCGGAGTGCTGCTATGATGACCTTCTTTTTCTGGCTGGCACTCAGGGCCCGTCGGATCAGTATCAAGAACAGGAACACCACAGCCACAGGCACGATGACCGTGGTGATATTATAGATCAGAACATACACCAGGTGGCCCAAGGAGTAGCTCCAGACTTCCGTGCAGGTGGACATGGCATAGATGTCAGCCACATTGGTCACTGCAAACACAGGGATGCTGGCCACTACTGCATGGGCCCAAATGTATATCACCAGTTCACGGGACTTGGCATCAGATATTTTTCTCTCCAGTGGATAGAGGACTGAGTAGTACCTGAAAAACAGACAAACAAAATTTCACAGGAGAAAATGTTCTTTTAATTAAGGGGAAGGTTGGCAGTGCAAATCTGCCAGCTGCTCTGATAGGGAAAGATGAGGCAGTCATCCATAAAGATTTACAGCTATGGAAACTCTATAGGGCACTTCTACCCTAAAGGGCCTCTATGAATCAGAATCCACTCAGTGGCGATGGGTTTGGGTTTTTTTGGTAGATGGCACATCTAGTTTGCACAAGACTACTAACCAAAAAGACTGGTGGCTCAAACCCACTTAGCATCACCACGGAATGGGAGGAAGCTTGGTGATCTGCTTCTGTAAAGATTACAGCCAAAATAATCCTATGGCATCACCATGAGTCAGAATGAGTTCAATGGCAATTGGTTTAGTTTTTTTTAAAAATATTATTACAAAAATGTCCCTGGGTGGCAAAAGCAATTTAATGTTTCGCTACTAACCGAAAGGTTGGTGGTTCAGATCCACCCAGAGGCACCACAGATGAAGGCCTGTCAATCTAGTTCTGAAAGGTCATGGCTATTGAAAACCCTATGGAGTGTAATTCTACTGTGAAACACATGGGGTCTTCATGAGTCAGAATCAACTCCACAGTAACTGGTCTGGTTTTTTGTATATTACCAAAAGTAGGAGAGAAAAAAAGTGTCAGATGCTTTTATTCTAAGACAGAAGGCACTACTAGGGGAATTCAGGAAGTCAAACCTAAAGTTTTGAGGATTTTGCTATACAGTGTGAGAAGCATCACTAGCCTGAATAAAATAAAATAAAATGAACTTTCTGTAAGCAGAGACAAAGCTCTATCTTCACGAGACTCTCAAAACTCTCTCTTTACCAAGAAAATAAGTAAATACTTTCAATTTATATTTAGCTTTATAACTATTGTCACCAGGATTACATCCTAGAGATTAAAAAAAAAAAAAAAAAACCACTGCCATTGAGTCAGAAGGACTCATAAGGACCCCTCCTTTTGGGTTTCCGAGGCTGTAAATCTTTACGGAAGTAGATTGCCCAGTCTTCCTTCCAAGGAGTGGCTGGTGGGT